AACATATACCCTTTAAATTTCGTTAAACATTGGCAGTGCATAACATATTTTTATAGACACACATATATATAGATAACTGTTTATATGAATACCGTACGATCAATCAGTTTTATGTACTAGTACTTTTTTAATATCTAGTACGTAATAATTTATGATACAATTGTATAATAAATACTTACGTAATAACGTATTATAATATGTATTATAATTTATAAATATTTATAACTAGACAATTAAAATTACTATTCATCTGCTTCATTGATTCTTACTTTATATCACTTTTTGATCGTTCGGTAATTTCTAAATATAATTTCAAGCTTAATACATTTATTCTTTTTCAATGCTATTATAGTTCATATTATAGGTTTTTATATTTAAGTTAATAACACAATATACGAAGAAGAATTGATTAACGGTTTTTTTATTTTGGTTTTAGATAATAACGATATTTTAAATAATAATTTATTAGAATATAAAACTAGGACTATTTACCGCACAACGTATTTATGATATTCTAAAAGGAACCTTAAAACAAGTTACAATTTATTAAAAAAAATGAGAATCATATTTCCTGTATTAAATAATTGATTATATGTTTATCAAGATATTGATTATCATTATGGTAGATCCTATTACATTTAACATCAATAACTTTTGTAAACATTTACAATACCTACGGCTAATTTTACATCTTTGGTAAGAGAGGGATCAATAAATATCCATAAATGATTTGTTGTTTAAGGTTGATTCTCATTATATGTTCCCTATCCACTACTTTCCGTTTTCGTACCATTACCATGGTTTCGTTTAAAAGCATGAATACAATCAAATTATACGGCAGATGTACGATTGTTAGATTCTATTTTAAATATATGAATTTGGCGCTCTATTTAATTATTTGGTTGCTCATGCATGTGCGCCTAAAATGCGGGACGCGAACGACAGTTAAGGAATAGCGTCGCCGCGGCAGTCACTGCTTGACATTAACCGCGAATTCAAAAGAATTTAACACGATATACGGAACTGCTATGGAACGAAAACGAAATGTATAGTGACAACAATCAACCTTTATACATTATTTAAATTGATACTATATCATCAATATGCATATTAAGCATCATTTATTGATATCTATATTACAGGTAGCTAATTCAGTGCTCTAAAAATATATATGTATAGAGAAAAAGCCAGTTTCTTTGAAATTACACTAAACGTTAACCTATCTTTTTTTTAGATTTTAAGATATAAACATTGATTTTTTTACACATTCAAACTCTTTATATACATAATATTTAAGCAAAGTAGTCTAGAAAATCACACACGCTACAAATAATATGAACACTTTTAAGAATGAATTAGGTATTTTAATTTCACTACTTAAGTCAATGCTTTTAAAAATTCCAGAGAACATAATTTTTTGTTTGCATCAACAAATTTTCATGAAGAACTGAGGACATTTTTTAATGTCAGTATATTTATATTAATCTCTCCTGATTCTAGATGAGACATATAGATAAAAATGTTCATATCAAATATTGCAATAGCATAAACCTTATCTAATTTTTAAAGAGACACTATAATAAATAAAAAAGACACAATAGTATAATGCTTTTTTTGGAATGTAACATTTTATTAATAAAAAATCAAGAGGCTACATTTTAATTCGTAAATGCATTTATAATTTTAATACTTTCATAAAAAGTTTTATATAGATCTTAACAGTATTAATCTTTGAAATAAAAACTCTAGATTCAGTCATCTGTAGATTTTTAAAGGCATGATATATTGTTATTAATTATTTTCAGTACCGATAAATATTTTAATTAACAGTTCACTAACAAATTTGATAAATTAATAAATATGTGTTTGATATTTTAAATACTAACGATGATTTGGAATAATCATACATATATAATTACATTTTTTAAACTGAGTGACTTGTGTTCATTATTTAAAATAATTATATTGAAATATATTCTGCTAACAAGAATATTGATATCATAACGTGATGCATTGTGAAATTATATTAAATTATTTTTAGGTTTAGGTGGGAAATATATGAAATATAATTATGAGCATTGAAGCAATAATGAACTGACAGTTTATGTTTATTTTTGGTGAGATAATGAACTAAACGAAAAAGTTTAAAACTTTATAAAATTATAGCTGTTGCATAACATTTTATCACTATAAGATAATATCTGGTTTTAATGTTATTTGAGTAATAAATTTGACTGTAATTGATCGCCATATAATACATAAAATATAAATTTTTGATTTTCAGAGCTGACTAACAAATATCTAATGGTAGAAACATTATTGTTTATAGTAACAATCTTTCAAGTTTTCAAACTGGTAATACAAGAAAGATATTTTATATTTAAAAACATATATTCTTCATATTTTTAATCACTCATATATGTATATGAGAGCAACTTCTGAAAAAAATTTAGAAATAAGAAATGTCACATTTTCATTGATATTATGTCTTATTATGATTATCAAAATATTTTTTTCAGTCTGCTTAGGTGGTACTTTTTTCTAAGTTAAATGGTTAATCTGTTTTATATTTATTTGTTGTTAAATACAATCGTCAAGTTTCTTGTATAGAAATAATATCGTTATATGTATTAAGTTATTTTGGAAATAATATTATCTTCCACCCAAATTGACACATGAGTAATCAATACGTATTTAAAACCTTTTTATGATTTAATGTTTAAATTGTTGCATTAAACTTAAATTAATCCTTTTAAGTTTAACAGAAATGTACAATAATTATATTATACTTTCTAAGTTTAAAGTAATGTATAGAGTTTATTAGTATTAGTGCTAATTTTGAAAGTGCGTCTTAATGTTAGAAGTATTTTTGCACAATCTAGCCCTTTTACATTTTATGTACAAATAGCCTATCTAGGTGCTATTCCTACAATAGTAAATTGTCCAGTATTTGCTGTTCTTCCTAACAATTTCTTCAGCAACCTTAAATATTTTTCTCAACATTCCATAGGTTTAGTCTTTACAAATTTGAGAATCTAGAATAAATTTAAATCTAATATTCAATAAAAAAAATCCATATATACTCCAGCGTGAATTTCATAATTCGGATGAGATCAATATTAACAAAAATATTGAAAAGGAAAGAAATATAAAGCTTTATTCCTTTGTTAAATTGTATTATTATATATTTGAAAAAAAATATATTAGATAAGCAGTCTACATACAGGGTGAATCTTAAATAATTGCAAATATTTTTAGGGGTGGTATATTTCGATCCTAGAGACAGGTCTATGTTTTTTTTTCGCGAAAATTTTTATTTGAACAGAAAAATTTTCTTTTGAAAAATTTTTAGTTAAAAATCGTAATACCTTCATAATATGGCAATATGGGTAGTATATTAAATTTACAAGAAAGAAATCCCAGAAAAGATCCAGCGGTTCTCAAAATGTATGCGAAAAATCTTTTTTTTTTAATTTCCAAAGTAAAATATTTCGGTTATTTTGGACTTATTTGAAATATGTTTTTTGAATATGTTTCTTTTATCGAGATCTACCAGCCCTGAAAATATTTATTTTAGACTGAACCTGTATAATATTTTTATTACAAATATCATGTAAGTCAGTGACTATTATCAATCTATCTATTTCTTGCTAATATTCTTTATACTGTAAGATAAATAAAAATCTGTCCATGTGAATACAATCAAATATGCCAAATGTCATTTAGAGAGAAATAAATGAAGAAATGTTAACGTTAAAATGTTACTTTGTTATTTGTAATCGCAAAACATTTTCCGATGCACGTCATCAATCATATCGACATTGACCCTAAAGTCTATAAACCTGGCTAAATGAAATTTTGGCAAAAATGTTTAAATTTGTTGTATAATTTAAGATACCGAGCAGCTCTTCATTTGACTTTATAGATCAAATGTAACAGATATATTATTTATACTGCAAAAATTAGTTGAAACCGAAGTTTATTATCGCCATATTGGTCACATTGGGCCATTTTTTTGTGTAATTTTTTGCGCCATTTGCGCCACTTTGAGTGTAATTCTAGTTTTTTGCCTATTTTCATAGTTTTTTTTAAATTGTACTTTTAAGTACAAACGGTTCTTTGAAGAACTCAATTTTCGAGTTTTTGTATTGCATTTCTTGAAATTGTGTGTTGAAAATATGCCAAAGCATTTAAACAGTCGAAGCAGAGTTTGTACAATAAAGGCCCTTTTTTACCCTTGACTGCAGTCAGAGAAGTAAGTTTGATTGATAAGCACATTGCACCACTTTCAATGTTATTTCTACGTTAGTTTTAATTAAATTCTGTGATTATTAGTTTGTGCAATAATAGCACCCTCTTACTTGTTATTACCACTTAATGGCGTTGTAAGATGTACTTCAATAAATAAATAAATAACCCATAATAACGCTTAGAATAATCTTCCTAATGGACTAGTCTTTGCCAATATGTAATAAGTAAAATAAGCTATAAAACAAATAAATCAATTGATTACTAAAATATTAGTTATTAAATTAAAAATAAAACGTAAAAGTCTTTAAAAAATTATAAAATAAATATATTGTTTGTCACTTTTTAATTAAGATTCATCTCATAAATCCATCACAATTTGGCAGCGCTGTCGCCATCGCTTGTCACTCAAAGTTGATCACGTGCATCGGAAATTGTTTTGCGATTACCATACTTATTTTACTTTATATACTTATGATGAAGATTTGGTATTTAATGGTATGAGATCTTTAAATAAAACGTTTTCTCCAATTATATATATTTTTTTTAACTTTTAATAATAATTTAGCTACTTTATTATAAATAAATGTATTTTTATTCAAATTGTAGATAAATAATTACAATTTTTTTTCTATAAATTTAGCTTCAAGCTGGAGGTGTCTATGTATTGGTTTATATTTAAAAAATTTAAAAAGACGAAAAAGTGTAAAACGTTTAAATTTATTTTCTTAAAACATATAATTTCCCTCAAACTATCGTTTATATTTACACTGAAATAGCTAATTATTTAAGTGTAAATATAAAATATAAAAACCATAAACAAAAACTTATTAAAGCAAATAGTGACGTAACCAAGTCAAGTGCACAATGTTTTTATAAAAACGTAATTTGAAAATTCCAAATACAAAATCAATTTATACCTTAATAATAAAATAAATATAATTAATGTAATATGTATTTCGAAGAGAGTACGGCAGCTATCAGCACAAAGGCTGCAGTTGGTTTCAAAGAACTTCCAAAGCTAACTCTGATGTCGTCTTTTTTCAAGAATGGAGCGTCGATGACGTGTATGATCCCATTAACGCATTCGACGTTGGCTCGGAAAACGGGTATTTTTTGTTCGTTCCAGTGAATGACGTAAGCTATAATGCAAAGAACAAGTCATTAATTATACATATTATTTTTTGTAAAGTTATTCTAAATTAGTTAAAAAAATTTAACAAGAAGGAATATGAAATTAGTTAAAGAGAAAGTATGATTTGCTGTAATACTCTAAAACAGCCTCTACACTATGCGGAGAACTCTTCGAAGCAGGTCAAGTTCGCGTTTCGTCGCCCAACTTTGTCGCATTTTGGTTTATTTCCAGTTGTCTTGACCCACTTCGGTTTGCTTCGACCTACTTTCGATTCTTAAAAGCGCCTGAAAACTACTCGTGAGGAGGGCGTGGGTATTTTTTATTCTTCCTGATGCCTCTTTAAATTTTGTTTCGTTTTGAGCTATTTTCAAAACGTGGCGGTATCTGTACCCGAGGCAAAGGACTTTTTTTCATAAATCTCAGTGAAATAAGTAAACCTAGACGTTTCTAAAATAGCTGTTGCGAGGGGTGTCTCACTATTGGAATTACATGTACATTTTTCTTAGCAATCGCTGGCAGTCATTGGCAGTCTTACGGAAGTCACCTATAATAATTACATGGCAGTCATAGGCAATCTTCTTCGTAGTCCTTGGCAGTCGCTTGACAGTAAAATTATATTTTGGCAGTACTTGTAGATTTTTTACCGAAGTGAGACACCCCTCGAGCTGTTGTTACGATATTTCGTTAATATAATATGTTTTATTTTGATACGCAGGGTGTCCCAGAAATAAGTGCAAGGAATTTAAAGGGCGGTAGATCTCGATAAAAGAAACATATTTTCTCTTTATCGTTCTTCAAATAAGTCCGAATTAAAAGAGTTATTTTACTTCGAAAATTTCCAAAAAAAATGATTTTTTGCTAAAATTTTGAGAACCACTGGATCTTTTCTGGATTTTCTTTCTTGTAAATTTAATCTACTACCTATGTTGCCATATTATCAAAAAATTATTTTTTTTAAATAAAAACTAAAAAAAATTCCAAAAAATTTTCAAAAAATTCCAAATTTTCAAAAAAAAAAATTCGCGTAAAAACCTCATAGGCGCGTTTCTGGGGTTGAACTATACAACCAGTTAAAATACTTGCACTTATTTCTGGGACACCGTGTATATTCCACAAAATTAATATTAGAATACGCGTTTCTAATATGAAGAGTAGATATTTAAGAACAAAACTTTTGACTCAATCTGCAGAAATTTACAATATGTTTTTTATTTAATTTTGTTATAATGAATTAGTATATAAAACTGTATATGTTATGTTTATTTACGAGGCCTTAATTGATTAATATAACAGAAGTATTGCTTAATGAGTAATACTAGCAACATCCTCAATATGTCGAGTTTATTGGGAAAATTATTGATTGACCCGACGCGACGTCAATAAAAGACACTTTTATATATAATAACATGGTTTGATATAAATCCATTCAAAAATAAGAAATAATTAGACGATTTTTTAAATAGTTTAACACCGCGGATTATAAGCTATAAAAGGCAAACCACCAGAATAGTTAGTCACTGCGTATTGCCCTGCATTTTTACAATTTTAATTTTTGGAAATACATTTTTTTAATTATATTGTAATTAATAATGTTAGACAATGATTAAAACTAAATATTCTTGTGTAACCTTAGAGGAATAGTCAATTAAATCTACCATCGGTAACTGTTTTCTAAACGCACTGTTTTTAATTTTTCATATCAGTTTAATATAGTGGTATTAGATACATTACACTCCATTTCAAATTAAAATATTTATTCACACTTCATGTTTACTTATTTTTCTGAAGCCACCGCAACGTTTCACCTTGATTGCTTCGGGCTATTTCACAAAATATTACGATAAATATAAGCCCGTGTTATAAAAATTAGTTCCCACGTTTCCTGAAATAGATCGAAACGCGCCGTGATTGTTTGTTTGTTTTTTATTGTTAATCCAGATTAATTTAATCTGGGATAATCTGGGTTAGCAATAAAAAACAAACAACCAATCACGGCGCGTCTCGATCTATTTCACGAAACGTAGGAACTAATTTTTATAATACGGGCTTATATTTGAGTTTACTTCAGACAGTATTTCTAGAAATGTTTTTACGAAATATTTCCAGAAATATTTCGTGAAACATTTCTGGGATAGTGTAGAGGCTGTTTAATATTGGACTTGGATTGTGTTTATCGTGAATCGATATCTAACTAAACTCATTAAAAAAACGAATAGCTCATGATGCTTAGAGCTAAAGAACAGCTGAAGAATGGAGAGAAAAAATCTGGTATAGCCGAGCACATGAAGGCCAACGATTACCGCATAGTTTGAGAACATACAGAAGTATTATAAAATAACCCCATCCGAAGAAAATAAAATTTAAAGAAGTTTCTTACATAAACTTCAATTAGGATGCCACAAGAGAGCAGACATTTCTAATGTGTTGTGTGTGTGCACCCCCAAAAACTACAAGGAATATTATTCGAACTCAAAGAGGAACTTCCATTCTTCCAGGAAGGAACTTCCAGAGAGGAACTTCCAACTTCCACCATTCTTAGGAGGCCCATAAAATACGGCTGTATGTACTTTTGTACTAAGACTGTACGTAGGTTGCCTTTTAAGTTTTTACAAAAAGTGAAACAGAAACGAACAAGTTCGAAACAAAGTGTTTTATTGCTTTTCGAAATATTCGCCCTTAAGGTCTTTTGCATACGTGAAACCAATTCTGGAAACATTTTTTCCACTATGAAGCTGGTATCTTAAAAACATGGTTTTGAAAGTCTTCAACAGCTTCTTGAGGTGATATTTTGAGGTAATCCGCTGTCCGCGCATCCTTTGTTTACACACAGTGAGGAACAAGAAAGTCATTAGGCGATAAATCGGGCGAATACGGGCAATGAGACATTAATTCGATACTTTTCTCCAGAATAGCAGAAAAAAGAATAACTAACTATACAGTGAGAATTAACTGGGAATTGGATCATCTACGTAATATGCCGGATATAGTAAAAATAATAAATTCAAATAAATTGAAATGGACCGACTATGTTAAGGAAAAATATATCAATGTACAGGAAACAAGTAATGCGAAGATGCTTAGCCGTATAGCAGCAATCAATATCCTTTTATATTCTTTCGTGGTTACATTTTAAGCTCTTCTAGAAGATATTTATCTGTCTAAGACTAGTTAAGTTCTAGAATACATTTCTAAAAAATACATTAGGTTTGCAAGTTTAGTTTCTAAAGTATAAAAAATCTATATACTACAGCCTCAATCTAAATAAATATAAAAACTACATCACTATATTATCTGCAATTGAATGCCATTGCTAAAAATACGTGAAAAAATATCTATTCTACGGTAGAAAAATACTATTAAACTTAAAAAAGTAGAAGAAACATATTTAAATTCCGTTATATAAAAAATTATTTGTAAGTATAACTATAATGGGTGTGTCTCAAAAGTGGCTCACCTCCTATAACTTTTTTATTTTTTCATGTAAAAAAACGAGGTTTGGTATATAAGACATAATAGACCGAGAGCTGGCTACATAAAAAACCTTATCATCGTTACATGGCTAATTTTTCTTGTGAAGTCTCCTTATGTGTAGCCATTATGAAATAGTCATGTCTGCCAACGCGATCCCGGAGCTTAAAGCGGGGGCGGCCAATCGAAAGGGTGAAATTTTGACACTAAAAATATTATAAGGTACACGAGTTATAATTGCCAAAGAGCTTTTATTTATTATTAAGAAAACTTAAATTTACTTAAAATCCCGTGCGCAAAAGGGCAGATGAAAAAAATCGTGGCTCAATCAGCTGTAGACAGTTATCAAAAGCGCGATATTACTCTACAGGGTGTGAGTCTTGGATAAGTGCAAATATGTTCAGGGCTGGTATCTCGACAAAAGAAATATATTTTTTCTTTACCGTTTTCCCAAATGAGTCCAAAATAACCGTTCAAGTTTGAAAATTTAAAAATACATTTTAGAAAGATTTATGAGTCACCTGTTTTTTTCTGTATTTGCATCCATTCTTTTAGTGTCGTAACAAGGTCGTAACCGAGGGGTGTCTCACTTCGGTAAAAAGTGTACAAGTACTGCCAAAATATCATTTTACTGTCAAGCGACTGCCAAGGAGTACGAAGAAGACTGCCTATGACTGTCATGTAATTATTATAGGTGACTTCCGTAAGACTGCCAATGACTGCCAGCGACTGCCAAGAAAAATGTACATGTAATTCCAATAGTGAGACACCCCTCGGTCGTAACCATAGAGTAAAGCCGTAAGCATGGTAGATTAAAAAATTATACCGTGGGTAAATTTGCAGCGAACAGGCAGTTGTATAAAGTTTTCTAAAATATAAAGGAACATTTTTAAAAAATGCACGATTTTCAAGGCGGGTAGCATTCCCTGAAAGCGCTAGAGTAATATCGCGCTTTTGATAACTGTCTGCCGCTGATTTAGCCACGATCTTTTTGTCTGCCCTTCTGCATACGGCTTTTAAAATGAATATATATGACATTTCACAATTCGGCATGCATGTGAGCCATATTTTTTTCCAAAATTTCATGCCTGTGTCCTTTCGCGTTGTCTGTCGGCATTTTAGCGACAAGAAAAATGCCTGCCATCAATTTTTCACGTTCCTTAATAATAAATAAAAGCTATTTTCGCAATTATAACTCGTGTACCTTATAATATTTTACGTGTCAAAATTTCACCCTTTCGATTGGCCGCCCCCGCTTTGAGCCCCGGGATCGCGCTGGCAGACATGACTATTTCATAATGGCTACACATAAGGAGACTTCACAAGAAAAATTAGCCATGTAACGACGATAAGGTTTTTTATGTAGCCAGCTCTTAGACTATAAATTAGGATTGATTGACGTATTCAATTATTTTTAGTCACAGAAATCAGTTTCACCAGAAATAACTACAACTTTTGAGTTTTAAGTGACACCCTGGGTATTTTTTTACTTTATTCAACAGAATATGACACTCTCAATAGAATGACAAATCATATGTC